CACATATTTTTGTGCCTAAAAGCAGAGCTAAATTTCTTCTACTAAAGTAGGCCTGATTTGCAGCAACTTTCATATCAAGTAAATAAACAGCTTCAATACTCTCACTTCCACCTGCTGATTTCAGTCTCCCATTGTGCTGGTTTTGGCTGGAGTAGAGTTAACTTTCTTCACAGTGGCTGGTGTGGGGCTGTGTTTCGGATTTGGGTTGACAATATAGATATGTTTCTGTTATTGTTGAGCAGTGCTTGCACAGAACCAAGGCCTTTTCTGCTTTTCATACTGCCACACTGGCAAGGAAGGTGGAGGTGCACGGGATATTGTGAGGAGACACAGCCAGGGGAGGTGATCTAAACTGACCAAAGGGATATTCCAGACCAATGACATCATGCTCAGTATATAAAGCTGGGGGGGAAGAAGGAGGAAGGGGGAGGCTTGGAGTAATGGCATTTGCCTTCACAAGCAACTGTTACATGTGATGGGGCCCTGCTCTCCTGAAGATGGCTGAACATCTGTCTGCCCATGGGAAGCTGTAAATTAATTCCCTATTTTTCTTTGCTTGTGTGCATGGCTTTTACTTTCCCTATTAAACTGTCTTTATCTCAACCCACAAGTTTTCTAGCTTTTATCCTTCCAATTCTCTCTCCAATCCTGCTGGTGGGGCAGTGACTGAGCATGGTATTTTCATCTCCAGCTGGGGTTAAACCACAACGTCCATGAAACAGGTTAGGAGTGGTTTCCTCACCAACAAGATTAATGGCTTCAAAAGCAGTTTCAGTTCACTTCCTCTTACATATACTGACAAAGAAACCTTTGGTGTCCAATGTCCTGTTTTTCCCCAACTCTAGTAAGCACTATGGAAAAGGTTTTGAAATTATTTTTTTTTTAACAACAGCCATTTACAAGTTTTCACTGAATTTGAATTCCTGTGAGATGGGATGGGGTGATGAAAAAAAGCCAACACAAGACATTAGTTTTTACCTTCCACAAACAACCAGTATTGCTAAAGTACAAAATGGTGCATGTTAAGTTCTGTGCAAAACATAAGTAGGTATTAATACCCCTTAAGCTCCCTGGTAAGTTTCAAATTTAAACTTCAATGTATTTTTACTGCTCTATTTTTCCATCATTGTAACTGAAAGCTAGAAATCCTGCAATAACTCTAACTTGATTCTATAGAAATCTGGTCTGGTAGGTCAAAATGCCAAGATATCTCCTTCACTTTCTTGAATAAACTGAGAACTTCTATTCTCATCAAGAGCAGCTTCATAGGTTTTTCCAGTTAGGAGAGAGAATATGCTGCTGGAAGTCAGCTTGTCTTATCTTGCTTTTCTGAATTTCTCTAAGAAACCTCCACACAATGCATTGTAATTTACCACTTCACTCAGAGTTAACAAATAACATTGAAAAAGCATCAGATATGAATAGTCAGTGGTGGAGCAAGGTTAGAATATGTTTTATTCAAGCATAAGGAAATATTTGTGGCCCTCCAAGAAAATCCTTCCAGACAACTGTCCACCTTCTTCAAGAAAGAAAGCAAGAGACATCACTGCAGGTTTTAATGTTCAGCAGACTTCTGTGGCTAACTGCAGACTAGGTTATTGCAGCACACTAAAGAACTATACAAACATTACTACTCCCTTTCCTCAGAAAGTTCTACCTCAATCTACAGTTACTCAGCTCTGCAGAAATGTGGATCCCAGAGAGTCCAGGATGTCCTCACAGACCAGACCGTGTTATACTGTAATACCATCTGGCTCAATCTTCACTTCCACATGTGAACTGCAGTCAAAGTTAAAAAACAGACACCAGTCTATTCAATAAAGTAGCATTTTTTCTGGGTTTTACAAGAAAAAAAAAAGAAAAAAACCAAACACCACAACAGTAATACAAAGTACTACATTAATCACAACACTAAGTTTTGTCCAGCAGTTCTAGGGTATTTTAGCCCTTAAGAACAGGCATGTGATGTACTGCCCACTTACATTCTTGCATATGTGTTTGAAGATCAGACAACAGCAAATCACAGTATACCACATAAACTACATTAACTGGACATGGGCACTCATGAAGAACTGCAAAGTAATGGTTCCAGCCCAAAACGTTAGTTGAAGCTGTTCTCTACTGCAAGCTAAGAGCACAATGATGTCAAAATTCAGCCCATAAATGGTGACTCACTTAGGTTCCTACATCCTTATAACCTCACATTCCTCCTATTTTTAGAACGTCATTACATAGTCAGTCTTCCCACCACCTGCAAGATCTGAGTACTTCTAGAGAGCCTACAGTAAGCAGTATGCAGCAGTGAACTCACGGTTCTACTAGCAGACTGTACAGATTTAACCATGTTGAGTGTTAACCAAATAAGAAAAGACTTTGGCTCAGATAATATTTTTTACAACACATGCAGCAATCTCCAGTTTTTTTCAAGTTTCCACCTCAATATATTGCTTTCTGTTCACCTCATATTTAATTGAAGTGCCCTTTTTTATTTTGATTTATTTTATCGCAGCCCTGAGAGACTTGAAGTTGTTTACAGTTTCCTTTGCTCACGTCTCTCAACATCCAGTTTTACTTGTGCAAGAGCAACCCTTCTGACCTTTTTTCTACTTACAAGCACCATGGAAACAGAAAAGCAACCCATGACCAACAAAGAAATTTCAGAATTAATTATGGTAATTGCAAAAAAATGGGCATTTATGAGGAGTGAAACTATAAAAAAGAACTCCCTAACTCTTCACTGAACATAATCCCAGCTGTGTCCTAAATTGGATATATACTAAGTACTATACTCACAAATGCTGCTCATGTAGGAAATTTCACTACTGCATTTTCTTAAGCAAGAGACATCTGTTAACTAATATGTTCACGCTAATTGGTCTGGCCACTTTCAGACTACACAGAAAAGTACAACTCATTACAGGCTCGTCTTCCCTGCTTCTTGGGTAAACCTCGTGTTCCACACCAACCTCTGCACTCAAAGAGATGTGCCAGCACACATCACACAACTTCAAGACTGGTGTTCCTTGATTGGGCCCCATCGGGGAAACATGCAATTGTCCTGAGTGTTCTTTACAGACCTGTCCTCCAACACCACCCTCACCCTCAGCAACCTGTAGAACGCAAAAATACAGTCATTTGCTATTGGATTCACAATCTAACCTTAGCATCCAGCTGCTAATGCTTGCCTCCTGGTCAAGATTTAAATTTGTATTTCCTAAGTTTTTTCCCCTTATTTGTAAAGATACACGCTTTATCTCTTTTGTGGCAGAAATCCCACTGCCCTGTATTACTCAGCTTAGGCAAACACTACAACACTGATCTGCTCTATGAAGATGCATTTCAAGAGTCACTTTCCCAGTGACACATCCGGTGCCTTTCGTGCCAGGTAATAGCTGAGCCTCACTTTCACAACTCCAGCACCGAGCACTTAGTTTATGTAACGCAGCTCCAAAGGTTACACCCTTCAGCAACAAAGTTACAGCCTGAGGCGACCTATTCGGAACAAACTGTATTCAGCACAGGAGGGCAGCGGAAGTACCAGCTCACAGAACGCTTCCAGACAGTCTCCGCTGCTACACCGGGCTGCCCCGCTCGAGACGAAGCGCCTCTCCGGACCCCCAGCAGCCTCCCCGATCCTGGCCGGGACACACCGGGGCTCACCAACCCAGGATACCCGCGGATCAAGACTCGTGCCCGCGAAATTAACCCCGCGCCACCGCCTCTCCCCGCCCCGCCACGTGCGGACCCGGAGCGGCGTTTTCCGTGGAAACCGCTCGCGGTCCGCCCGCTTCCCGCCCTGCCCGGCCGAGGCTGCGGCGGGGCGGGGGACACCGGGAGGGCGCAGCTCCCTCCTTCCCCCGCATCCCTCCGGCCACCCTGTCACTTGGGCAGGATGAAGGCGGGGGCCGGGGGAGGAGCCTCCAGTCGCTCAGGTGGGAAAATAAACACACAAAGGGCCCTCCCTGGCACCCGGAGGGGGGATTTACTCCCTCGCGTTTTTACTCCCTCCGCGAGAAAGGGGGGGCGCGGGGTCCCGGAGCAGCCTGTCGGGGGGGCTCCCGCTCCCCCCCTCTCCCAGGCCCGGGAGTAAACAAAAGCGGGAGCCACAGGACAGCACATGGGTAGAGACGGGGACCCCCGCGACGCACAGAGCCGGATCCGGGACAAGCGGTGACCGCAGAGGGTCCGCCCGGGCATGGCGACTCCCGCCTCACCTGCTTGCCCCGGTAGAAGAGGCGCTGGCGGTCGGGGCTCACGCGGAAGGTCTCCTGGATCTTCTCCCGTAGGCACTCGATCTTGGTGAGGCGGCTCAGGTCGTCGATGGTCTGGGTCTCGGTGCCGTCGATCGTGCGGACCTGGATCCACATGGTGCCCGCCCGCCTGGCCACGGGCACGGCAGCGGGGCCCGGAGCAGGGGCTGGGGGCCGCTCCGCGGGTGAGCGCCGGCGGCGTGGGACTGCAGGGGAGGGATCCGGGAGCTCTCCCGCTCTTTGTTCGTCTCGGCAGGGCAGGAATTTCAAACCCCGCTGAACGGGCGCGACACTCCCGCCGCAATCCGAGCCGCCGGCCCCGCTCGGCGGGGCGCGAGAGAGGGAAGGGAGCTGAGCGGCTCCCGCGGCGCTCCCCGATCCCGCCGAGGCGGCGCGGGAGGCGGCGGGCAGAGCTATGGGGAGGCGGCGGGAGCCATGGCCCGGCCCGGGCAGTGTTTACCGGGAGCGCCGCCGCGCTCACATGGAGGTCACGGCGCCAACGCCGCTCTCGCGAGAGCCGCCGGCCGCGGCCGCGCGGAGACAACACGGCGGGGCGGGGGCGGGGGGCGCGAGGCGGGCGCGCGGCACCGCCACGCCTCCACCCGTCGCGCGCGCTCCGCACCGCGGCCCCCGCGCCGCGCGCGGCCCCGCCCCCGCCGTCCCGCGCGCGCCCGCCCGCCAGCGCGAGGCCTGCGGGGGGAGGGGCTGGCGCGCGACCCGCGGGGGGAGCGGGCGGCGGCGTGCCCTTGGCGGGGCCCTGAGGGAGCTGCGGGAGCTGCTGGGTCCGTGCTCACGGGCTGCCGGGCCTCAAAGCCGCCGAACATCCATGGGCAACCCCGAGCAAAGGTGTCCGCTAGAGAAACCCGGGCACCGGCGTTTCCGATGACATAAAGCCTTGTCCCAGCCAGATGCAGCTATCCAAAGATACAGACATCCTGGCTGCGGCTGTTTCGTTACGTAGATGGAAATAGGGGGCGAGACGAGAAGAGGCAAGCCTCGTTTATACTGCGAATCTCGTGTCGGTTTGCTTTCATGTATTTTTCTATGCAAATTTATACCAGACAAATCTGTAATTTATGTGGGTGTTGCTGGGCAAGTCCTGGTAGGCAGCTGGGTCCCACACAGGCGCTTGGTCACTCCCTCACAGGAGGATGGAGAACAGAGTAAGAAGGGTAAAAGAAAATGGCCATCTAAATAAAAAGAGTGTAATAGGTAAAGCCACAAGCACATAAGCAAAGCAAAATAAGGAACTCACTCAGCACTTCAAGATTGGCAGACAGATGTGCATTTAGCCATTTCCAGGAAAGCAGAGCTGTGACATGTGTGAAGTTTCCTTAGGAAGACAAGCACCATAACTCCTAACTCCCCACATTTCCTCCTTCTTACCTCAGCTCTCGCTGCTCAGCATCACATCGAGTTACTTGAGCATTTAACTTGCATTAATAAATCTCATCCTAATAATGTAAGAGGACATTCTGGCACATATAGAAACTAATGATTCAGTTCGGTATCTCCAACTGTATGCTCCATGAGTTGTAGGAATGGCCTCAAAACTCTATTTCCCATTGCCCCAACAATTAGTATTGTAACTTTACTTAGCAGGCCTTTGCAGATAGTTCTTATTGAATGTATGACCCCTCTATGAAAAATCTATTGTTTCATTTCCTGGTTTTACTGGAACTAGGGCGCTTGCTGGGGATGCCTTGTTATTTTTCCATGGTCACCTTTACTCATTGACAAAAATCCTCCAATATAATAATTTTTACATCTTCTAATTGACCCTTCTTACCCATAAATAGCACATAGATTTAGGCTCTTTTCTTCTGTGGTAAAAAGGTATTCAGTATACCCTGCATATCCCCTCAACTAGGGCTACGAGTCAGCATGATATTTTCCAAAAACTTTCTTCAAGATTTTCATGGTAGGAACCAACAGATCATTTCCAGTTCAACAAATCTGAAGTGTAAAAGGGACACATATAAAAAATTGGCAGACCCGCTGCTCCCATTGCTTGACTGAAAGATGCCTGTATCACCTGTAGCGCTGGGAATGTCCTTGAGTTCGGTCCACAATAGGACTAAAATCCGCACCACCTCCCATATGCTCTTTATTTTGATTCATATCCTCTTTATTGATCCCTGTCCCAATGTTATATGGCATGAAAAGGAGGGAACTAACATTCACACATCTTCTGTTTTCTTCCCTCCACAACATACAATCCCTTGCTGTTTTCTCTTCTCAATACATACACCTGCATATCTCTTCTCATTTTACACTAGTTTCTGAATATCTGGATCTCTGTGAAATAATGTCATAAAAGGACAAACATGAAAAAAACCTCATTCCATTTACCAAGTCAGCAACAAAACAACATCAACTGTAAGGTAATAGATTGCAAAGGCACAATTTCCTTATCCTTCCTTCCTCATCCTTCAATTTATAAGGTGGCCACCATTGATTACAATATCTCTTAATTTTATCTTCAGTCATCGGATCTTCCCCAAACTTATTCCAATTTTTCAGAATACAATTAGGAGGACTACAAGAAGGAATGGTTTGATCCTGTATTTAATAATATTTAAGTTACCCAATTTCTTTATCCTTAGGTCTCAACTTCCAACAGTTACACTGCTCCAGTCCCACTGATCTATTAAGGCCCTCTGCCAAGCATTCTTTTGTGACTTACGTGGAGACTGATACCTATAAATCTACATCTTTAGAAATTCTTAATTTTTTTTTCCCAGGGAAGAAAGGAAATATGATACTCACCACTTCAGGAATTCATCCGTATCTCCCTTGCACAAATACCTCTGGAGCATTGCGCCTTTGAATTGCCTTATGCCCCAGTGCTGGAGAGGATTTTTTGGAGTCCTCAGTGAAACTGGTCAGTGTGCGCTGGAGTCCTGTCTGACCTGATTCTGTTGCCAGGTGTAGTGGGTTTCTGTGGCTGGGTTTTGGTAGCAGGGGGGCTACAGAAGTGGCTTCTGTTAGAAGCTGCTAGAAGCTTCCCCTGTCCCATGGAGCCAATGCCAGCCGGCTCCAAGATGGACTTCCTGCTGCTGGCAAGGCCAAGCCAATCAGGAGTAATGGTAACACCTCTGTGATAACATATTTAAGAACAGAAAGTTGTGGCACAGAAAGAATTCCAGCCAGGGAAGAGCAGAGTGAGAACATGTCAGCAACAGTGCACACACCGAGGTCAGTGCAGAAGGAGGGGCAGGAGGTGCCCCAGGCACGGGAGCTGAGGTCCTGCAGCCCGTGGTGCAGACCATGGTGGAGCAGCTGTGCCCCTGCAGCCCATGGGGGACCATCGGCTGCAGCCCATGGAGGAGCCCATGCTGGAGCAGGTGGATGCATGAAGGAGGCTGTGATCCCGTGGGAGGCCCAAGATGGAGCAGGGTCCTGCTGGGGACCTGCAGCCCATGGAGAGAGAAGCCCACGCTAGAGCAGGTTTTTCCCAGGTAGGACTTGTGGCCCCTGTAGGGGACCCACATCAGTACAGGTCATTCGTGAAGGACTGCACCCCATAGAGGACTGACCCACGGGACAGCAGTTTGGGAAGAACTGCTGCCTGAGGGATGGACTCACACTGGAGAGGTCCATCAAGGACTGTCTCCCATTGGAGGGACCCCACGGGAGCAGGGGAAGGACTCCTCTCTCTGAGCAGCGGCAGAAACAACAATGGACCTTAACTCCCGTTCCCAGTCCCCCTGCACTGCTGGGGGGGAGGAGGGAGATCAAAGAAGGAAGGAAGGGTGGAGGGAAGGCGTTTTTAAGACTGTTTTATTTCTCACTCTCTGAGTCTTATTGTGTTAGTAATCAATTTAAGTGCTATCCCCACTTCGAATCTGTTTTGCCCGTGAAGGTAACCCATAAGTGACCTCTCCCAGCTGTTATCTGAACTCATGAATCCTTAGCTGTTTTTTTTTAATCTCTCCTTTGTCCAGTTGCAGTTGCGGTGAGAGAGTGGCTTTAATGGGTACCTGGCATCTAGCCACTGCCAACCCACTACACCAGGGCAGCAAACTTTTATGGCTGTCCCATCTGAGTCACCAGAGATTGTCTCAAATACAGGTTCTTTCAACCCGTTGTGGAAGACAGAGTCAAGATATTTGTTATTTCATGTCTGCGCAGAAATGGGTGCTAGCTTTGTGCATTTAACACCTGTAAACCGGTGTGAAAAACATCCTTTTCCTGTGTAAGCACTGTTTAGCAATAGCTAAAACATCACTGTGTTATCAACACCGTTTTGGTCAAAATCAAAAACATAGCACCACACCAGCTAATATGAAGAAAATTCACTCCATACCAGCAAAAAATGAATGCTGGTAAAAAGACTAATGTATCCAATACATGGCTTGCTAGAAAACAGGAAATGGGATAATCAATGCCTTTGGGGGGAATTCTGAGAAAATTTATCATCTCAGATTTTGGCAGCTTGATTAAAATGTAGATTTACAAGATGCAGATGACACCTACATAACTTTGTGACTTTTTTTTGTAGTAGTTGTAAATATAACTGATGAGGTGCTGAGTTAGGGGAAGAAACAGATCACAAACGAGAGTTATTAGAAGACTGGTTATTGGTTAGACTGTTATTATTAACCGCAGATAACTGAATCGCAGATGTGATTATGGCCTCACACAGCACGCACAGTCACAGTCACCCAGCTGGAACAGCAGCAGAGAGGCCAATCCCAGAAGTTCACTCAGGAACAGGGGCTCATGCCCACATTCTGGGGGGTTCCTGGAGTTGTGCACAGTCGCACATAGGCTTCCTCGTTTCACAGCTGTGATCACATATAGTGCCCTGTAATCCTTGTCCACCTATAGCAGCTGCTGCCCTCTTGCATGTGGTGTGGGTTACATGACCCGTGGTAGGTGCCAGTGTGTGCTGGAGGACATGGGCAGGTTCAGCAGCTCCTTGGTACCCCAAGCTTACCAGGTTTTGATCCAAGACCACTCTGAGTTCTTGGGAGGCTTTCAGATGCTTTTTCCCAGCATGTAGGATAGGTAATGCTGAAGGACAAACTGACTGAGTAGTATAGTATGTATGATGGACTGGGGTGACAATAGCAGAAGAATTACTAGAATTAGGACAGCAAGGAAAGGAATCAAGAGTATGAAAGTAAAACATGGGAGTAGTGAGCAAAGTGCAAGGATCTAATTGAAGACAAACTCAAGAAATTAGTGACAAAAAACCAGAGTTGCATAGAAAAGGAAAATTTGACATGATATTTTGTAAGACAATACTAATTTTCTTAGAGGAAAACTATAGAGCAAAAGTGAGAGATTAATAAAAGTTAAATAAATTGAGAATGACACACTGATAAGCAAGATTTTGTTTCAAAATTAAGACGGTTTTCATGATGAAATGTTCAAAAGCAAACCATGATGCAAATTGGGTGGTTTTTTTGAGATAAAACAGTAAAAGGTTTAAAATTGCGGGATGAAAAATGGAAACTATTAGAACGAGGCCTTTGTATGTATAGGAATTTTCATAGTTTTCCATGGGTAGGTTGCTTTAGCATGTAACTAAAGATAATTATTTGCTTGAGATAATGTGTGTACTGGTATTTGAAATGCTGTCTGAATTCTGGAGATTGCCTTATATATTTTATGTTTGTCAGCAGGAGACATCTTACTGTAATGACCTTGATGTGGATGAAGTCATGGGGATAGTAGGAGCCAGCAATTAGCTTGACAAAGAGACAAACACGCAGGACATGTGAGGAGGGAGTAGAAGAATGGAAGAAAATTACCAGGCAAAGAAAGCAAAGAAGCCATCAGAAGAGCGAAATGTGTGCCTTTGAGTTTCAAGGAGGAGCTGTGGCAGGGCACCAGCAAGCCAAGAAGGAAAAGGTAGGAAATTTTTTTACAGAATTATTTTTCTAGACAATCTTTTAATGACTTGGAGGCAATGTGATAACTTGTGTGGATGTTTCATTATTATCAAATGTGCTGATGTGTCTTCCAGGGAAGAGGAAGAGAAAAAGAAAATTGAAAATGTTGGTATACTGAACTGAGCAGAATCGTGTCCATAACTCCCACAAAGTCATTGTGACTATTCCAGCATAAACATGGAAAGAAGAGAGAAAACCAGCATGGCTGACTTCATTACCCCTAATTTAAACTTGACAAAGAGGCCAAAAGCAAATCCAATATAGTTGTTGCAGATTACACAGCAAGTGTGCATAAGAATGGTATCCTATATGTAGGGCTGACTCTGTCAGGGGAGTTATGAAAGACAGTAAAGTTATGACAGTAAGAGTTCATAACATAAATATTTCTATTTGATTATAATAGAAACAGAACTGCTAACAACTCTGTCTCATTAAAGATGATAAGTGTAGCAATGTTTCTTCTGCCAAAAGGGTTGAGACAGAAGTTGTTAGCACAAGTGTGGGCTCTGTGACAGCTGGAATGAGAAAAGGCCTACCCTAAGCTGGGTAAGAGTTAAAGGGAACAGAACACTGAGTGTTTTGCCCTGATTATAACTAAGAAAAGTCTATTCTTATTTACAGTGAAGAGTCCCTGTCCCTGAGGATCATGCAACCTGAAGCACCTGCTGCCTGTTTCTTTAGTGCATTGTACCTGTTCATGGAGTGGTGTATTTAAATCTCAGTGAAGTAAAATAAGCCTTAAATTTACTTTATATTTGTGTTTATATATTTGTATACAATTTCTACTGTGAAAAAGATAAAAAGAAGTAAATGCAAGGATAGTACATAATTCTAATAATCCCCTAACAGAAGTAAGTAAAGAATTCACATTGTTTCTTGACATAATTCTGCTGATTCTATCAAAATCACTTTTAGAATTTATCTCAATATATGCTTTTGTCTGTTAAAAGCTTGCTAATTTATGTTAGTAAAGTTGTCATCCTCAATTATTTCAGATGTCAGTAATTTTTGCCATGAAAAGTAACACATTGTGTGATTACAACCTCTGCTCTGTGTATGATTCGAGACCTTTTTCTTGGTTTGATTTGTTCATGTCAATTTAGGTACCAATATAATATGCTGCAGCATATAAGAGTAATTGATTTTTTTAATGGAAATGCAGTTATTTTATCAAGAATTATTGTTTTATAATTATGTTTCAAATTCTACATTATTGAAATGAATAATGAGACATTACATTTTCTTTCAAGTTTTTGTTTATAAATCATGTGATATTCTGGGTAGATCCAACCATATTGCATTTTTTACATTCATCTTTCTAAGAAGATGCATAACTTAGCAGCAAAACTATTTTGTTGAGTATAGCATTTGTAACTCTGTAGCTTATAGTTTTAATATAGAGAAATATTTTATGTGTATGATAAAACAAGTCTTCTATAACAAAGCAGAGCAATGTTAAATTGCTTAACAACGACTTAAGAAAGTGAAATGCCAAGTAGCACTACTCATGCTCAGTTGGTCAACTGCAGGTTTTTAGGTATTAGGAATGAACACACAACTCATCTTGTAAGCAAAGTAGAAAATCAGGAGTAAACCTGGTCAAAACTACTCACATTTTGTTATGTAGATGGAAAGAGGTATATCTACTTTATGTCTTGTTGTTCATTCTTTCTCTGACTCAGAAATGGCAGCCTCTGTAAGTCTCAGACTGCTATTTTCGAGAGGATATCAAAGGATAGCATTTATGGGGCCATTTAGTGCTTTCCACAGTACCATTATCTTTTACTCTTGCAGTTATTTCTCTGTAAAAGACAGAATGGTTTGAGCACAATCTTATCCTAGAGTTGTACCCAGTCCTTAAAACACAGCTTAATCAGGAGGACAAGCCGCTTTTCCTTTAAAAGTCTTCAGATAGCTGGGAGCCTAACTACCTAAAATACTACCATTTCTCTATGAAGCCATACAATAGGAATGAAAGTGTCCCATGATCTCACCATATGAACCAGCAGTGTGCCCAGGTGGCCAAGAAGGCCAGGCATCCTGGCCTGTATCAGCAATAGCATGGACAGGAGGACCAGGGCAGTGATTGTCCCTCTGTACTTGAGGCACTGGTGAGGCCACACCTCAAATTCTGTGTCCATTTTTGGACCCCTCACTACAAGAAAGACGTTGAGGTGCTGGAGCTTGTCCAGAGAAGGGCAATGGAGCTGGTGAAGAGTCTGGAGCACAAGTCCTGTGAGGAGGCTGAGGGAGTTGTTTATCCTGGAGAAAAAGAAGCTCAGGGGTTACCTAATTGCTCTCTACAACTACCTGAAAGGAGATTGTAGCCATGTGTGGGTTGGTCTCTTCTCCCAGGTGACAAGTGACAGGATGAAAGAAAATAGCATCAAGTTGCACGAGGGAAGGTTTAGATTGAATGTTAGGAAATATGTGGATGCGGCAATTAGGGATATGGTTTAGTGGTGAACATGGCAGTGCTGAGTTAACAGTTGGCCTTGATAATCTTAGAGGTCTTTTCTAACTTAAACAATTCTATAACCCTACTTCATCAACTTATCTAATTTCAAATTCCAATTCTTCTCCAAACTTGACATAATGTTTAAATAAACACAGAAATTTCTTGTGGATTCAGGTAGGACTGTATGTCAACTGAGTCTGGTCAGCCAAAACAACAACATTAACCCTAACTCTTACAACAGCTCCCAATAAGACAGCATTAACCCTAACTCATCATTCCTAAAGCTTCTTCCCAGATTAATATAACTATAATCCTGTACATCAAACTCCACAAGTGCAAAGGCTAGAAACCTTTGTTAGGATGATTATGTCTGTCTCTTTCTGTGGTGTGTATAAGAGGATGGAAGAATCTAACCCAATTAATATAAATTTTTTCTTTTTTATAGGATACTCTCTGTGTTTGTTTGTTTGGTTTTTTTTCTCATCAAGGCTGTAATATAAAGCTGTTCAACCATCTTTTACTTTCACATATTATCAGCCACTCTTTTGTACAGGAACCTGAAGTTCGATGTTTTGGGAGGACACCTTGCACTTGCAAACCTGCAAATCAGAAGTGGATGTGCTTTTTCATTTGCTATGAGCAGTTTCCTGAGGCAGTGGAACTCACCTAGTGAAGTTGCAACATGGGAATACAGTAAATCCTCACAGAAATGCAGACCCTGGCAGTGGTAAGGGAGCCATCCAGTGGGCTCTTGTGAGACATACAGCCACGACAAAATAAAATTAACTAATTTCAGAGAGTTTTCTGCCTTTTTGATTGCAAGATGTTAAGTGTTGTTGTCCTTTTGTCCAAAGCCTGCTTGTACTATTAAATGCCAAATTCCTTTACTTTTTGTGTTCATAGTAAGGAACTAATTTTCCCTGAATCAAGGAAGACTTTGGTAGCTGATAGATTAGGTATATTCGTAGTTGCACTTTTCTACTGAATATCTTCAATTTTTCAAATGAAACTTGCGGGTGAACACTTGACTGCACTAAGCTCATGGTGGTTTTGTTTTTTCGTTTATCTGTAGATAGGAAAGCGGAAAACTCCGCCATATATAAATGAATGATTGTTAGTAAAGGCATGTAACATTCCTGTGACAATAAAATAATGGTAGTGTTGAAAAATCAAAGTTGATACAAAATCCATAAAAAAAAAAAAGAAAATTGTGGTTTTTATGTTAAGTATGTGATATTTTAAATTAATTTAAAAGGTTTCCAAGTTCTCATTAGAGATTTCTTTAAATTCTTTTAAAAGATTCTTACAGATGATTTATGGATAATTTATCTATGATTTGTTCACTTACCAGAGTAAACTAAAAAATAATGAAAAAGATTACTATTAATGCTTACAGCAGCACAAGATCTGCAACACAGAAAATTTTAGATTATAGTTCAAGGAGTAAGGAGAAATTGCCATTGGTTTCTAAGCTTGGAGAAAATGTTAATTGAAAGGAAAATTAAGATTTATCTTTATTCCACATAAGCCAGCACATAGGAGATTTTTTTCCTGTCATTCTTACTCCTCAAAACTTGATCAGGGATTGATCTTCAGTAAAAAAACTTGACTTTGTTCCTTGTGAAAGAATGGATTAAAGAATTATAATGTCAGATATAATCACAAAGTCAGAAAAAAACATGCAACTGAGCAACTCTTAATTGAAAAGCTAAGAAGAACTCAGCACAATACTAGAGATGGATTTTTATTCCTCCATGTATGGTATGAGACACTGAGGCATGTTTCTCTTCTGATCGCCATTAAAATCTGTCAGTATAGTACAGAATCTTTTGCTGAAATACGTGTAATATGGCAAAGCACATTAATCAACTAGTTATTTAATAATAATTTTATTTTTTAATGTTTCTGTAAGGAAAATTGTGAGAGGGCCATGAACACATCAGCAGGCTCTAACTGCCATGAGAAGCCTGCAACCTCCTTTCTCTGCATCCCCCCTCTGTAAACTATTCTCCTCACTGAGCACTTGACTGCTTTTATTTAAGGTCAATTCAATTTCTCTTGCAGAGAGACCAACCTTTGCTGCTCCCTGACAGGTTTATTTGCCATTTCTTCCTCCAAATATCTGTTATTAGTGCCTCAAAAACGTATCTCCACTTTTTAATTAAAAAAAAAGGTAAACTCTATAAGTTTCTTGAGTATGTGTCACAGTCATGTTAACCTCATTAAATTGAATAAAATATTGTTCAGTGTAAGAAACAGCTTAATAAAGACCTATGACAAAGGTTTCAAATAGATTATTCTTCTCTGTTCGCTGAAGAAAAAAAAAGGCTGAATTTAGAAGAGGATCAGGTTTACTTCAACAGTGTTTGCCTAAGTAGATTACAATAAGAATACTGACAACTCCTAATTTCATAGCAAATTTTAGATGCATTCATGAATCTTCTGCTAAAATCACCAGTTCTCTGGAATCTGAATTTCTATACGTATTAATTTCTGCATTACAGTAAAGGCAGATGAAGTTACTAATTTTAAGCATTTTTTTAATTATTAGAATCATGCATATGAGACTTTGTAACACAATGCTGAAAAGTCTGTGTCTGCAGTTAAAACCCATTAAATTTATTGATATTTATATAGTACAAATATACCTAAACATTGCAGATCACCTCATCTGTTAAAACTAAGTTCCAAAAAATATTGAGGTTGAAGTTCTTTCTAGTTTGTTGTCAGTGACTTGTTATGTTTCATTAGAATAAAAACCATACAAAATTATTTCAGTTTTGAAAAAAGCTACTCAGTTTTGAAAAAAGTAAATGGTCAAAATCAATCCTGGTTGATAGATTTGCTTTGCTTTGAAGTTCGTCGGTCTGATGGATATGGAAGATCTGTTGGAATCTTAGTGTTAGGCTGTAAGAATGAGTGTGGATGTCACACATACCACAAAGCTCCAAATCTGCATTAGAAAAAGACCAAAGGAATGCATGTAAGACTGAGAATCATGAGTTAGAATTATGGATTTGCCATTTGCTATTGCCTGGTATCGGCTAAGTCATTTTTCTGTCTGTAGTTTATTTAAAATGTACACAATAAAATTTGTATCCACCTTTATTTTACCTTAATGTTTTACAAAACTTTGGTTTAGAATGTACCATGCAACTGCAAGTGTTATTGTAGGCTATACCAACGCAGAAGCGATGCCACTCTTCAATACCACAGCTTCAACCATTTTGCTTATTTACTGTTCTAACATGAGGAAAAAGTGTGGATTTCCACTAAACTAGTACATTTAGAGCAAGATACATATCCAATAATACATGGGAAAGGTGTGTATATATGAATACGACAAGAATCAGGGAGACAAACTTATAGTTCTAGTACAGGTAGTAAAGCTACTGTTGTCAGAATGAATTTTTGAGTTATCTCCAAAAAAAGTAGATAATGCAATATGAAAACACTGGAGACAGAATTAAGAAGTCATTGTATAACTTTTACAGTAATATAATCTACCAAAAAGAGATAACTCAGGGTTCA